TGATGAAAAACTTCCACTGTTGATCAAGCCTGTTACTTTTTACCGGCTACCCACTTACCCTTAAAAAATGGTATTTTCATTAAAAAAAACAGAAGATGGTCTTTTCATTAAAAAAAAATTCGCTCAACAGGAAGAAGAAGGAGGAAGATCAATGGAGTAAGAAAATTGTTTTTATCCTATGAGATTATAAAATCATCGTCATTTATTAAAACTAAGATTGAGATTATAATAAAATTATTTAAAAAAAAAAAAAAATTCAGACAACAAAGAAGAAGGAGAAAGAAGATGAAGTTGCAGAATTGTCTAATAAATTTAGCTTGTTCAATAAATTTCACTTATATCCCAAAATTATCACATTTTTTCAATTTATTCATCATATTTTTCATATTATACCTTGAACTATCTAATTAGTTTCAATAACCCAATTTTTTTTTACCTATTTTAATTTAACACCAAAGGTGTAACAAATATGATATGTTTGATATAATTTATTTAACGTGAAAAACATGGAGTTGCAGAATTATTTTTATCCCTATGAGATTATAAAATCATCATCATCATTTATTAAAACTAAGATTGAGATTATAGTAAATTCATAAAAAAAAACTCACACGACGAAGAAGAAGGATAAAGAAGAAGATGGAGTTACAAAATTGTTTTTATCCCTATGAATCCTTTATTAGATTTTAAATCATCATCATTTAATAGTTTAAAACTAAGATTGAAATTATAGTAACCTTATATTTAAAAAAAAAAATACACATTTTTTATTAACATTCACTTTTTTGGTAAAGATTACATTTTTTTTGTTAAGAGTACAATTTTTTTTGTTATATTAGAACTGTTTTTGTTTAGATTACCACTCTTTTGGTTAACAATACTATTTTTTTGGTTAATATTACCACCAATTATGAGTACCATTTTTTTTGTTAACAATATCATTGTTTTGGTTAAGAGTACCACTGTTTTTGATAATATTATCACTTTTTTGGTANAAGTACAACTTTTTTGGTTAACATTAATACAACTTTTTTGGTTAATATTACCACCAATTATGAGTACCATTTTTTTTGTTAACAATATCACTGTTTTGGTTAAGAGTACCACTGTTTTTGATAATATTATCACTTTTTTGGTAAGCATTACCACTATTTTGGTTAAAAGTACTACTTTTTTGGATAATATTACCACTGTTTTCGTTAAGATTACCACTTTTTGGTTATAGTATCACTGTTTTTGTTAAGAATACCACATTTTTTGTGAACATTACACTGTTTTGGTTAAGAGTACCATTTTTTTGGTTAATATTACACATTTTTTAGTTAACATTACAACTTTTTTTAGTTAATAGTACCACTATTTTGATTATGAGTACCACTTTTTTGGTTAATATTACAATTTTTTTGTTTAACAATACTACTGTTTGGTTAAGAGCACCATTTTTTTGGTTAAAATTATCACTATTTTGGATAATATTGCCACTATTTTTGTTAAGATTACCACTATTTTGGTTAACAGTACCACTATTTTCGTTAAGAGTACCAATATTACTATTTTTTTAGTTAATCTTACCACTGTTTTGGTTAAGAGTACCATGTTTTGGATAATATTACCATTTTTTTTGGTTAAGAATACCACTTTTTAGGTATGCATTACCACTATTTTGGTTAAGAGTACCACCGTTTTGGTTAATAGTACCACTTTTTTGGTTAATATTACCACTGTTTTGATTATGAGTGTTAACATTACCACTATTTTGGTTAAGAGTACCACTGTTTTGGACAATATTCCCACTGTTTTTGTTAAGATTACCACTCTTTTGATTAACAATATCATTGTTTTCGTTAAGAGTACCACTTGTTTGGTGAACATTACCACTGTTTTGGTTAAGAGTACCATTTTTTTGGTTAAAATTACAACTTTTTTGGTTAAGATTACAACTTTTTTGGTTTAATAGTACCACTTGTTTGATTAATATTACCACTATTTTGATTATGAGTACCATTTTTTTGGATAAGAGTACCATATTTTGGATAATATTATCATTTTTTTTGGTTAAGAGTACCACTTTTTAGGTAAACATTACAACTTTTTTGGTTAAGAGTACCATTGTTTTGGTTAATAGTACAACTTTTTTAGTTAATATTACCATTGTTTTGATTATGAGTACCATTTTTTTGGTTAAGAGTATCACTGTTTGGATAATATTGCCACTGTTTTTGTTAAGATTATCATTCTTTTGGTTAACAGTACCATATTTTGGATAATATTATCACTTTTCTGATTAACGTTACTATTGTTTTAGTTAAGAGTACCACTGTTTTGATAATATTGCATTTTTTTAGTTAATCTTACCACTGTTTTGGTTAAGCGTACCACTGTTTTGGTTAAATTAACACAATTTTGGTTAATTTGGTTAAAAGTGCCACTGTTTGGATAATATTACCACTGTTTGGTTAAGATTAACTGCCATTGTTTTCGTTAAGATTAATACTTTTTTTGGTTAAAGTACCATTTTTTTGGATAATATTGCCATTGTTGGTTGACATTATCATTTTTTAGGCTAATACCACTTTTTGGTTAACATTATATTTTTTGGTTAACATTAATTAGGTTAACATTACTAATCTGTCAGTTAAGATTACATTTTTTTTGTTAAGGTACCACTTTCTTCGTTAAATTACAATTGTAATGATTAACATTAGCAATCTTTTTTTTTTGGTTAAAATTACACTTTTTTTTTTATTATGAGTACTATTTTTTTGGTTAACAATACT